ACAGCACAGTCAGCCAGAGCAAATCTGGAAGAAGTCCCATCTCCCTGTTCACCCCACCCAGGCTTCCCCCGTCCTGCTGGCTGTCTGCACAGCTTCCCTCCTTCCCCCATCCTGGCTGAGACACCATGGCTAGAATCAAGAAGCCACCTGTCTTGAGCCACCACCTTCAAAAGCTTTTCATTCCGTCCTAATGGGGCAAGGCGCCCAGGCCGCCCCACCCTCGGGGCGGATTAGGCCTCCGCCTCCCCGTTGGGGTTTCAGGTACATCAAAAGAGCTCCCTGCACCAAAATGTCTCTCGCAGGCCCTGTCTGGCAGCCTCAAATCACACCAGGAGAGACTCATTTCAGGTAAAGGCATTGTGCTCCCAAGGCCCCTGCTCAAAATGCACCTACATCCCTGGGAGGGACTCCCACGCTGCAGCCTCCAGCACCTTAGCTGGCGTTGTCTCCCCATCACTCTGTGCATTGCAACAGACATTGCCTAATGCCAGCTCACTGATGGAATTGGATTGTCTCTAGCAAGTCCTGTGGGAATGGGGCACAGAATGGGGAAGTTTGATCGTGGCTGAGGGAGGGTGTGAGAAGAGCGTGGCATGACTGGGAGAGGGGAAAACAGGATAGCTGATGTATGGGGTGTTGAGAAGGATGGAGCCACATCCTTGGCAGGAGTGGAGGAGACCCTGAGTCTAAGAAGGAAGGCAGAGGAAATTGCATGAACTTTCCAGAGATGCAAGGAGGTAGAAGAGGGTGAGGTGGATAGGGTGGGCGTGTCGGGGATGGAGAGGCTGGTGGGAGGCGGCTGTTTGTGGGGAGCTTCTGGGGAAGGGACTGTTTGTGGGGGACACTCTAGTTCATCGCTGGCAGCACCCTGAGCAGGACACTTGAGCAATCACAGATTACTCCTCTGTGGAAGTTGCAGAAGAAAGTATCAGGACATGGGAAAATGTTTGTGATGTATTGATAAGTGAGAAAAAACGAGGTTACAAAACAGGCCATGGAGTGGGCTCCCTATTTTGTAACACTGGCTGGAAAGACACCAAGACGTCAGCCGTGGTTATCCCTGCTAGAGCAAGGATGACTTGCATTTCTTCCTGGAGCCTTGCTGTATTTTCCAGATTTTCTACAATAAACTTGGAATGTGATTTTTGTGCCTACCAGGAAGGGTTATTTTAGAAGAAGATTCGTTGACTATTTATTGAGCGCTTGTTAAATTCTGCGGTGTTGGAACCACACATGATGCAGAGAAATGTCAGCCATGGCCACTGCTCTCAGATGACCCTTAAATCCAGCCATGGCACAGGGGTAGAGATCAGTGCACAAGAATGTGGCCTCTGGAATCAGACTGCCTGGGTTCAAGTCCCTGTTCTGCAGCTTCGTAGCTGTGTGCTCTGGGCAAGTGCCTTGACCTCTCTGTGTTTTGGTTGCCTCATCTGTAAAGTGGGGATAATAATAGTACCTGTAGGGTTAGTTGAGCTGATACATGTGAACACTTAGAAGAGCAGCTGGCACAGGGTGATCACGACCTCAATCTTAGCTGTGACTATTATTAGTGGTTAAGATCTTTGCCTTTGGAGCCACCCTGTCTGGGTTCAAATCCTTCTTTGGTCTCTGTCTGGCTCGGTTTTCTAATCTTTAAAATAGGGGTGAACGTCACGATGCTTTATTCATAGAGTTGTTATAAAAATGAACCTAGTAACTACGGATAAAGTACTTAGAACAGTGCCTGGCATGTAGAAAGTGCTCAATAAGTGTGAGCTGCTATAATACTAATTATGACTGTTACTATTATTATTATTGTATTAGGGGAGGCAGGAAATGGGGTGAGGAACCACTGGAACACCCTGTGTAGAGCCAGCACAGGGTCCAGGATGCATGAGCTGGGCTGAGCTGGGCTCTGCGGGATGGCCCCAGCCTCTCTCTTGCCTCTCCTGTGTCTTCCTCCAGCCCGGGGAATTCTGGTCCCTTTAAGTTTGGGCCCAGATGCCACTCCTCGCACATACACCACTACCTCCCTAATCCGTTTTTGGCCGCACACACTGGTGGATATCTGCTGAAGCTAATGAATGAAGGGGGCTTCCAGGACTCTCATCTGTGTGGGGTGCCCTTACAGTACGTTTATAATTGTGTCTTCTCTTTCTTGTGGAAGACTTCTGTCATTGCATAAATTTCAGCCCCACCTGGGTCCTCCCGGTTTTAGGAGAGGGACTCCTCATTCAGACTTGCAAGGCCCATCTGCTGAAAGCCAGCCCCTTTCTTTAACTGGGCCTGGTCTCCAGACACCTATCTGGGTTGTATCTTTGCCCAGGTGAGCATGCTTTCCTTTGTTCCTGATGCACAGTATTTCACGTCTCCTCCTGCAGCCATAGCCTCTACCTGTCACCACTTGGGCTGGTAATATCATGAATGAATGGTTGGATGGATGGATGGATGAATATACTCTGCGTCTGTTTTCTTCTCAAGGAAAACCAGCAGGGAAATGACTGCGTCCTGGGGTGGAGCAAAGCCCTTGGCAGACAGAAGATGGAAGGCCTTTTGAATCTGTGTGGGACAAGAAGCCTCTAAAATCACACAGTGTTTGGCACTTAGACGCGTGACTGCAAGTCTAGCTGGGAAAATGTGTTAAGTGTGGAGTGTTCGCCAGAAGCTGAGACGGAGGAACAGTCACAGGTCAGGGAGAAAGGAGCCCTGTCCTACTGTGTTCTTGATTGAGAACTTGTGTTCTCCTTACCATTAGGCTTTATTGATCCTTGTCCACTTTATTGAAGATTTATGTTATTTAAAAATGAGTGAAATCCATAGAAGAGGGGCCTGCTTGTCCCAATTTTAGGCATGAACTCCCAGCGTCTCTCTGGACTTCATTTGAGGGGACTTTTCTAGGCTGTGTTCAGAACCTCACACTTTATCCCACACTATACTTCTTCATACTCTGGGATTGTTTCATGTGCCCCAGCTTTATCTGCTCTGCAACTCACTCTCTCTCACATCCGGTCCCTGACAAACGCTCAAAGTGGAAGAGTTGGGTGTTAAACAGGAGTCATGGTTAATTTGTGTCAACTTGGTACCCAGTTGTTCGGTCAAATGCCAGTCAAGATGTTGCTGTGATGGTATTTATTAGATGTGATTAACATTTAAATTAGTAGACTCAGAGTAAAACTGATTACTCTCCATAATGTGGGTGGGCGTCGTCCAATCTGTTGAAGGCCTAAGAGAAAAGACTGAGGTCCCCACCACAAGAAAGAATTCTGCCTCCAGACTAACTTCAGACTCAAGTCACGACATCAACTGAAATTGATAGCCGCTTGGCCTGCCCCACGGGTTATGAATTTGCTGGTCCCGGTAATTGCATGAACCAATTCCTTACAGTAAACCCATCTCTCTGTCTCTCTTTCTCTCCCCTATCCTATCAGTTCTGTTTCTCTGGAGAACCCTAATACAGTGGGTCTGAATGTAAGCCATTCTCTTGCTTGGAAAAATCATTCTTAACGTGAACGACTTTTCACGGTGTAAGTGGATGGACAGGTGCAGATGGCCCATGGGCCCTCAGCAGGTCTTCTTGTCTCTCCCCTCGCTTCTGAGCAGGCTTGGACTGTCACTTTCAGTCACAAATAAGCATCAGGAATGAAGATCCAACTCCTCCTCTGCTACCCCCTGTGCAGTTAGCTACATCTAAAACTGTGTGTGTTAGTGAGAGCAGAAGGCTGGGGACAGCCTGAACATTCACCCACATCAGCAAGAAGGAACTGAGGGCTTTCTCTGGACCGATGTGGAACAGCTCTAAGATAAATTTAGTGAATAAAGCGAGGTGCCCAACACTGCGTTTCCCTCCGGGCTGGTGAAAAGAAAACGTGCATATTTGCTTACAGGTCCACCGTCCCTCCTCCGCAATTCCAAAATCCAGAAAACTCGGAAAAGAAAAAGGTTTTTCTTTGGTTTGTGGCAAATGTATTTGGTAGCGAAACCAGAGCCGAAAGGGTGTGAAGCTGTTTGCAGTTGCTCTCCCTGTTGGTGTGAAAAACCCACACTGCAGACCTGGGTGATGATCGTCCTCTTTCCCTGGGACTGAGGGGTTCCCCAGGCATGGAACTTTCGGTGCTAAAACTGGGGTAATGGGTCATCCTATACAGAGCCTATGGGAGGTGGGGGTTGTTACAGAATATATGTTATACAGCCCAGTTACCTATCTAAAATCTGGAAAGTTCTGGATCCTGACACTCATCTGTCCCAAGGGTTTTGGATGAAGGGCTGTGGACCTGGATGTTCATAGACCATCTCTGGAAGGAGACACAGCAGCAGCCACGGCGTCAGGGGAGGAAACGGATGGCTGGAGGGAGCGTTTCCACCTCACATCACTGTGCCTCTTTTGACTGTGAACCATGTGAATGTATTATCTCTGCAAAAAATAAATACAGGAAATTATGGAAAAACACAACTCTGCCCTTTTGACTAAACTACAAATAGAATTTTAAAGATTTTTGAAAAAATAAGTTACTGTGCTGCTGTTACTGATGCTGTCAAAGCAATTATTTGTCTTTCTGAGTCTGCTGATTTCAGCGTATCCTGTCCTCAGAGCCGCTTCATTTATTGAGCCCTGATTTGGGGGTCAAGAGATTTGTTTGAGTTTCCTAGGCCGAGTGCCGGGTAGGTCTCTCCGGGAGCGGAAGGTGGACCCCTGGCTTCAGCAGCGTGCTCCCCAGCCCCAGGCGATTTTTTTCCTGGTTGGTAATTGTTATTATTATTTTGAAAAATCAAGAACAATCATGCATAGCGAGTAGAAACAGGCTGGGTCAGCTGAAAAATGCCCACATGCTCCCACCCTGGGTCTCCGGGTGATATAATTAGCTGGTTTTATCCAGCGGTGAGTGGGTGGCTTGCTCCCCGGGCACCCAGCAAGGCCAGAGGATGATGCAATGAAAGGCAAGCCCGGGCAAGGCCAGGCCTGAACGGTGCTGGCCAGAGATGCTGAGGCGACGCGCTGGGGCGGGGAGAGGGCGGGATGGAAGCGGGGTGTTTCAGGGCTGAGGGGTGTGGGGGACCCAACTGCCCACCAGGCACAGCTGGGCTTCTGCTGCCTCAGCCTTGAGCTCCCAACCCCCCTTCCCCAAATCCTGGCTCCCTCCTCCCTTTCCCCATCCCCGCTTGGTGACAGAATCTATTCTTAGTTCTCTCATTCTCCTGAGATGCAAGGGTCTGCTGGGAGCTTCTAGAGGTGAGACCGGGGCCCTTGGCATGGACAGAGCCTGAGGCTGGCGGCCGGGGAGGTTTCCATTACCCGGGGAGGTTTTTCAAAAGACCCGTACACTTGCATAGCTGTCTGACCCTCACTCAGTTTTAATTCAGTAGGGTCAGATAGGGTCAGAAATTAGAATGTGTTTTTAAATTGTGCTAATTATTATCTGAGATAGTATTAACTATTTAAAAAAATATATGATGAGGCCTTGCACCCTGAGAGGCAGACTGTGCACAGCACAACTCCAGGGAGCGCTGTTCCCCCAGACTCGGATGCTGCTAATGGTGCCCTTGGAGGTGGGCAAGACGGTGGACCTGCTCCTCTCCCCAGAGACCACCACTGTCATTGTTTCTTGTTTCTTCTTCCAGAGAGAGCCCACATGCATGTTGGACCTGAGCAGTTTTTCAAAAGGGTTTTCCTCTCCTTCCCCTCCCTGTGTTGAGAATCACTGAGCTGGAGGGAGGAAGCTCTAGCAGGGAGTTCAGGCAGCTGCCAGGAGACAAAGGAGGACGACGCCCTCCCTGCAGTCTCACCAGAGCCAGCCCCCTCCCTCCACCCAGTCAGGGATGGGTCCCACGCACCCTGTCCAGACCCTGTCAGTCTCTGTATCTGCATTTTGGTCAACAAAAAGAGGCCGCCTTTTCTTAGTCATCCTCCTGGGCCCCCAGGCCGTTTTCAGACAGATTTGCTGAGTAAGGGATTTTCCTGCATTTCAGCCCCAAGACTTCCAGGCAGACTTTGATGTTGGCTAGTAAAAACAAAACAAAACAAAACAAGCTTGTGTATCAGAAAGGGGAAATTGGGTCCTGCTGTGTGACTTTAGGAAAGTCACACTGTCTCTTTGTGTCCTCGTTTCCTTCTATGGGAACTGGGGACATCACATCTCCCTCATTTTTTTTTAACCTCTCAGGAAGGTTGTAAGATCCTAGGCCTGAGAGCACCCATTTTATAGACGAAGATGTTGAGGCCCAAGCTCATGCAGCTCAGGGGTGGCACTGTTCTTGTGGCCAGGTCCAGAGACTGGGCGGGAAGAGCCCTTGTAGGGAGAGTAGGGAGGTGAACGGGGTCTCATCTCCCTCCCTCCCCTGCTGGGGCAGACAGCCAGTAGGTCACCACAAATCTGTGCCTGGACTCTCGCATCCAGGTGGGGACACATGACAAGTTCTCACTAACGGAATGTGGATAGGCAATGATGCGGGTCACCTCTGAGACGGGTGTGAAGAAATTCATGTGCCTTCTTTATGCTCTTCTTTCTCTTTCCTCCAGCTGGAAGCAGAGCTCCTAGGGCCCTAGGATCTGGTGCAGCCTCAGGATGGAAGGCGCCTGAGTCCCTGAGTCAGCGCATGGAGGTCTGCCCCTCACCAACCAGAACACCTCAACTGTACTCACATGTGAGTGAGAAATAAACTTCTGTTGGGTTGTCACTGAAATTTGACAGTTTGTCTGTTACAATGGCTAGTGTCATCCTAACACAACCCCACTTTTCTCCCTAAGTCCCTCCCCGAGCTGTTTGCATGTACCCGAGAGGAGACACCAGCAAGTACCCCTCCCAGCAGGTGCAGGGCTGTCAGAAGCCACCGAGGTTGGGGAGGCAGAGGCATCCTCTCCACCCGGCCTCTGATTTTGGCTCTAGTGAGGCCACCAGCATTTGGGGCTTAGGGGTTGCAGCTGTTGCATTCCACAGCGTCTCTGGTGGCGTTATGCCTTGTGTGACGCTCAGAGCCATCCTAGGGAAGCAGAAAGAAGGACAAGCAGCTGATGGGGGTGGGGAGCAGAGGGGCCACAGCTAGAACCTTGAGTCTGCCCTGAGTCCCTGCCTGTGCCACCTCAGCCAAGGCCCACACCTTCTGGAGCCCCCACTTGCCCGTCTGTAATATGAGTCCAAACCACCTGTCCTGGATAGAGGAGGGCGGGGTGGGGAGGCTGAGGAGGCGGATAATGCCTCTGAAATCAGAGGATCCAAACCCAAGACCCTCAGAACGTTCACGTATGCTGGGGGTTTTTCTTGAGAGGCGCTTAAAGACAGTTTGTGAGGGAAGAAAAAAGTGAAGGAATGCATAATTCCTACTCTTTTGGAATCATCCAGAAGGCTGTTCCCAGCTAAAGGGCCTGGGATGAGGGGCGTCTTGGGGGCTTTGAAGGCCAGCTCAGGGCACTAACTCTGTGTCTGTGGGCAGTTCCTTTTGCCACCACATGTCTACTCTCAGGTGTCACAGTCTCTGAAATTCCACCATTAATGCTTCATTCCTTTGGATTCCTTTTTGGTCCTCTACAAAAATGCAAGCAATGATAATCCCCAACACGTGTTCTGGGCTTTATACTTGTTCCAATAACCCTGAAAAAGACCGACGGCAAGGCCCAAACACCTGGTGCGGGCGCTTCTCCATGCACTTTCCTTGAGGCGGGAAGGTGGTGAGCCGTTCTCCCCCTGGGCGGACATTCAGAGAAACTCCCGCACAGGTGCCCCAGAGACCCGGGAAGGAATCGTCACAGCAGCCCTGTGCATAGTAACACGGAACAGGAAATAACCAAGTGCCCTTGACAGGAGAAGGGGTTACTGGATGTTAAATAACAGTAAAGAGGATGGAGCCCTGTTTTAGTTATGCCTTGCTGCGTAACAAAACGTGTTCAAACGGAGGGGCAACCCCAGTCATTTGTGTGCTCACAATTCTGCCATTTGAGCGGGGCTCAGGAGGGGCTCGTCTCTACTCCACGTGGCTTCATCTGGGGACCCTCAACTGGGGCTGAAAGATCAGCTTTCACGATGGTCCGGCTCACACGCCGGCACGTTGATGCCGGCTGTCGGCCAGGGGATCAGCCGGGGCTATTGGGGGTGGGGGGCTGGGTTATCTCGGATGGCCTCTTCCCACGACTGCTCGCAGCACAGTGGTCTCACAGTAATCCAGCTCCTCAGAGCGGGGCTCAAGGCCCCCAGGAGTGGAAAAGCAGAAGTTGCTAGACCTTCTCAAGGCTTAGGCCTGGAATGGGCACAGGGTTACTTCTGTCCCATTCTATTGGCTAAAAGTGTCACAAGCCAGATGCATTTCAGGGGAGACGACTACGAAAGCGTGTGACCACCCAGAGGTGTACTTTCCTGGGTGTCACAGGCTTCCTCAACCTCCCTCCCAGCCATGCGGATCAACCTTGGGTAGGTCATACTGCAGAACAAATATCCTCCACGTTTCAGTGACGTCACACAAGGGTTCCTTCTTTCTCACACACAGATCCCACACGCTCTGCTCCACACAGACATTCAGGAACCCGGGCCGACGCAGGGCCACTGGGTGGAGGTGGGACCGTCTGGGACATGAGACTTCCCTTTTGCCACAGCTGCAGGGGACGACAATGCTGGAGAGTTTCACTCAGCCTCAGCCTGAAAGAGACAAATGTCACTTGTGCTCATATTTCATGAGCTAGAACTAGTCACATGACCCTATCTAGACTGCAAGGCTGGGAAATGTGGGAGAGCACGTGGGAAAACGGGTGAGCAATCCTGTCTTTGCCACAGGGGATAAAATTATTGAAAACAAGGGAAAGTTCAACGTAAAATTCAAGATGGTGTTTACTTCAGGGTCGGGGAGGAAGGGCCAGGATAGTAGGGGACCTCACAGGGAGGTGTCAGTGATCTGTAACGTTCTAGTTCTTGGGTTGAGGAGTGAGTGTTAATTATATTATTATATTTTTAATGAATAGATGAGTGAATAAATAAAAGAGAGGGCCCAGAAGCAGTGGCACTAACGCCTCAGCTTGTGAGCCAAAGAGAGCCCTTCCATAACCGAGCTCTAGCTGAGGCTGCCGGGCCTCAAAGGTACAAATAAATAAGTGAATAAAATATGGGCTCATCCCCTCAGGTCCCAGCTCAGAGGATGTAGTGGGCATGTAAACCCAGCAGGCCAGCAAAGCACAGTGGCGTGGATCCCTCAGCAGGAGCTCTGGGAACCAGAGGGGGTCCCGAGAAGGCCTTCCCCCAAGGGGTCATGTAGGTTGGGTCACAAAGGATCAATAGGCGTTCAGCAGGTGGAGAAAGGAGTAGAGGTGGGGTGGGATGGTCAGGAACACTCATTCCAAGAAGGGGGAACAGTACGTGCACAGGCACAGAGAGCCCTTCACTCCTCAGGTGGCCTGTGTTCACGGCATTTCCTCACCACATTCTAGGCCCTAAACGATCTGATCGACTCATTCGCACCGTGCTGTGCCGTCCAGGAGTTCCTGCAGGAGCCGGGCACTCCTTCTCCGCACTGGCTGTTGGGAACGTTGGCTGCTGACGCTCCAGCTGAGTCCTCCTTCAGGACTCATCTTCATATAAGGGAGCTCTTTTGGGCAAGGTCACGCCCCCCTCTACCCCAGGGGCAGCCACATCCAAAAGACTGGTGGAAACAGGAGTATAAAGGCCCAGCCCTCTCGCTTAAATCCAGGGAACTCTGGAGGACCAGTGCAGCTCCAGAGCTCCCTGTGGGGTCAGCTGAGGCCTGTCTAGGGCCTCCAGCGTCCATCACAGCCCGACTCCTCTCTCTGCCCAATCCAGTTTCCTTTATATGCCCACGGGGGTTGATTGCAAAGGCCCTCCCCAAGAAGCCTCCTTCAAGCAAGTCTGTACTTTAGAGTGTGTTTTCTGGGAAACCTACCTAAGATACCCACTAAAGTATAAATGATTACTCAGTTCCAAGGGATGTCTTCCCTGGGGGTGTTTGCATAGCAAGAATAATAGCTAACATTCATGGAGCAATTTCTATGTGCCAGGCACTGTGCTAAGCACTTTGCCTGTATCACCTTATTTAACGAGGAATAGAATTTATGCCAAAGGAATGAATTTCTAATGGTGAAATTTCAAGCTTAAGGAGGCTGGAAATGTTTATGTGGCACAAATTCTGTTACAAATTTCTCTGCCTCACGGTATTCTCAGTCCTGATCTTTGTACTGGCTGAGTAAAGCCCCCAGAAGTTCAGGATGCGGGCTCCCAATCTCATTCTTCCTCAAAAAAAAGCATTTTTTGTTCTGCTGAGGAAGATTCTCCCTGAGTTAACATCCATTGCCAATCCTCTTTTTTTTGCTTGAGGAAGATTAGCCCTGAGCTAACATCTGTACCAATCTTCCTCTATTTTTTTCATTTTGGGGGATACCTCCATAGCGTGGCTGGTGAGTGGAGTAGGTCTGCACCAGGGATCCGAACCCACAAATCTGGGCTGCCGAAGTGGGGTGTGCATAACCTTAACCACTCAGTCACGGGGCCGGGCCCAAGAAAGGCTTCTTCTGCTTAGTCACAAAATAATATTTCTGTTCTGCCTCTTTTCTGGGGTCTCAATTCTTGGAAGCCTGTGTGAAGGCTAATTCCTCTTAAAGCTGACTGCCACTGTTTGGGACTCCCCAGGGACTTTTCTGAGAAATGGTGACATTGTTCCCAGCACTTCCTCTCCCTTCCTAGGCACTCCTGCACCCACCACTGAGCCCTCCTCACATCCTCTGTCTTCAGGCTCAAACTTTCCCTCTTTCCTTTCCATCATCAGCTCCCTCCTGGGTGGGACTGACCTGGCCCCTCTGGTCCCCCAGGCTGAGCCTCGCTCCATCCCTAAGCCGCCTGCTTCCTGGGGAGCATGCCCGGGCAGCAGGCTGGGGCCCTGACTGGCTCTCTGGCCCTCGGGGACATGTCCCAACATGCTGAGCCCTGAGACTTAGAAGAGGCTGGGCTTGTCCTCGGGGCAGCCTGCTTTGGGGGAAGAGGAGGGTGGTAGGAGACAGAAGACCCCTCCCCCAGAGACCCCAGGGAGACCCCAGGGAGAGCTTGGTCTGAGTTTCTCTGAAAGGCTCTGTTCCGTGCACACATGTGTGTATGTGTGTGTGTGTGTGTGTGTCTTGTGTGTGACTTTAAAGAACCTGCTCCTTCCTTCCTTCAGGAGGACCTCCTCCTGAGGCAGGAGCCCTCCTTAAGGGCATGCCTAACTACACATTCAAGTGTATGTATGGTTGGAAAGAGTTTTTGTTTTTGTCTTTTTTTGAGGAAGATTAGCCCTGAACTAACTGCTGCCAATCCTCCTCTTTTTGCTGAGGAAGACTGGCCCTGAGCTCACATCTTTGCCCATCTTCCTCTACTTTATATGTGGGACACCTACCACAGCATGGTGTGCCAAGCGGTACCATGTCCGAACCCAGGATTCAAACCGGCGAACCCCAGGCCACCGAAACAGAACGTGTGCACTTAACTGCTGTGCCACCTGGCCGGCCCCAGAAAGTTGTTTCTTAAAGTACTGAAGTATTAGGCACTTAGTAGGTGCATAATAAATATTTGTTGAATTCTGTTGTGGTGGTGGCATTTAGCTAGAAGTTATATAAAAAAAAAAACCCTCTCACTTCCCAACAACAACAACAAAAAGAATTATTTCATTGTGAAGCTCAGTACCACAAAACTTTAAGTAATTCAATACAAGCTTTCATTAAAAATTTTTTTTTCCCAAAATAAACAGACAGACAATGTCAAGTCTATTTGAAACGCCTGAAAGCCAAGGGGATTCAAGGCAGGAGGAGGAGATGCCTGTGCTGCTGGACATTTGACACCCCAGCCTTTGGGTGGTGGGGGGGTGTGTGTTGGGGTGGAGAAAGGAGCTGGGGAGGAGGGGCTGCCCCGGGGGTCCTGGCCTTTTTGAGGCCCTCCTGAGGTTGGGCTGCAATCCCAGCAGACTCCAACATGAGGCATGCCGGGGTCAGGTGCTGTGCCCTCCTGCCCTCCCCCGGCTGCATCCCCGCAGTAACGGAGGAGCCTGTGCTCGAGGTCAGCTGCGTTAGAGGAAGGAGACCGGGCATGTCTGGGCAGAGGTTTCAGACACCCCATGGCCCTCGATGTCAGCAATTGCAGCCGCTCCGCTCCAAGCCTCAAGTCCGTTTTCTAGTGGGAATTCTGTTCAGATTAACGCTCTGCTCTCTGCAATTTTTTAAGAGCAGAAACTGCAAATGTTTTGGGTAAAGGAAAGAGGCAACGGTCGGGGGCACTGGGGGCAGGGGGTGTGGAGGTAGGCAGGAGCTGATGGGCGCTTCACTGGCCTCTGTGTCTGTCAAGAGCACCAGTGGACATTTCCAGAATTGTCCTTCGTCAATGTCACCTCAGCAAGCTGCCTGGAAATGAGGGGTGCTGGCTGTGTCCCCCGTTCTCGTGTTTCTAGAGCCACTGAAATAGAAAAGGCAAGCAGCAGAGGGCTCTGGGTGAGAGGCAAAAGCCCTCTGTGCCAACCATAGCCATTTATTTGCTGTGTGACCTGAGTCAGGTCAATGAACTTCTCTGAGCCTCAGTTTCCCCAGCAGTGTATGTGGGCTGTGTGGGGAATATTCAGGAGATAGCTCATCAGATCCTTCTCTCCTTCCCAGCTATCAAATCAAATCACAGTCACATCAAATGCAGTCACAGAGGTTTCATCTGTCGAGGTGAGACAGAGCTGGGTGTGGGGAGGAGGAGGCAGCAAGAGCTTGGTTCAAGGTCCCATTTCCCCTGGAGACCACATTGGCCCTTTCTGGGAACTGTCCCCAATTCCCTCTTTTTGCGAAGCATTTGACAAGCAATAACCTTGCATCCCTTTAGTTCTGAGGGCCTCAGTTTCCTCGTCGGTGAAATAAAGCGGATTGAATCCGGTTCAGGCCTCCACGATGCTTTGCGCGGCTGTCTGCGCGCCCCAGCTGCTTGGGGGGAGAGCTTGTCTGGGGACGGATCCGTGGGAACAGCGCTGGTCTAGTGGGGCTTTTCTGGGAAAGGCAAAGTGAGACGCATCATTTTTATTATTTAAGGATTTTCATTTATGAAGGTCACCCCTGGTCTTTTCAGCTGCTTTGGGTAAATCCTTGCTCACAGTCGGTCCGCAGCGGTCCAGAGACCGGCACATCCTAGCAAGGACGTCCCTTCCTGGGGAGCGCCAACTCACTCCCCAACTGAAAAAACCCCAGATTTGTGGCTTGGTCCGTGGGGAAGTGTGTCAAGCGCACACCCAGGCGCGGTGGGGGGGCGGCAGCACGCGCCGGTGGCACCCGCGCGCCGAGCCGGTGGAGCGCGGCCAGGGGGAGCGGCCGCCGGCCGGGGCGGGCCGGGCGCGGGGGGCGGAGCCAGGCCTTTTTATTGGGGCTGCGCCGGCGGCGCCAGCGGAGGTGTGAGCGGCGGCCGCGGTCGGTGGCTCGGAGGACCCAGCCGGGCGCGGATTCACGGAGACCCCGAGACCCTGAGAGGAGGTGAGGGAGCCGTGGGGGCTGGAGCGGACCCCAGGGGGGCGGCTGGGAGCCCAGCGGAGCGTGGCGGCGTGTCCGTGTGTGTGCGTCCGCGGGGACGCGTGTGTCCGGGGGTGTGTGCCGGGTTCGCAGGTGAATGACGCGCGTGGGTCTGCGCGTGGGTCTCGGTTTTGCGCACACGGGTGTCTGTAAGCGCGCGTGTGATGGCGTCGGGATGTGTCGGGCGGGGAGCACAGAACGAGGGACCCCTGCCACGCTCGCGTCCCCTTGAAACCCAGCCGGCCCGAGGGAAGGCGTGGGCCCTCCGCCCCCGGAGCTCTCCGCCCGCGCCGTTGCGCCCAGGTCCCCCTCGCGCCCGCCCGCGGCGCGGGCAGGACACCCCGGTCCGCCGAGGGTCCGGGAGGGGCGGGGAGCGCCGGGCCGAGCAGGTTCATCCGGGAGCCGCTCCCGGGCGGCTCTCGGACCCGATCGGTGCCGCCCCGGCCCGGCCCCCTGAGGTCTGGGTCCTCGACGCCGCCGTGTCCGCCACCCGCCTGGGTGCTGAGGTCAGCGCGGGCTGTGTCCCCGGCCCTTGGGAACGTGTCGAGACACGTCCCTTAAGGGCAAGCGAGGAGGTGACTCACGGTGACAAGGGGACCCCAGGGAACGGGCCGAGTGAGGTCAGAACCCCGCCCGGGCTCGGGGACAGTGGCGACCCAGAAGTCGCCTTCCCTGCCCCTCCGCGCCTTGTTCCCCCATAGACACAGTGACCTATCTGGCTGGCACAGAGTGTTCCCAGGGAAGCCCGGACACCGGGAGGTCCAGGACCGGGTGTCCGGTCCCCGCCCCGCGGCGCGCCCTCGGGCACTCGGAGCCGCGGCCCCGCGCTGAGTGGGCTCGCGCCCGCCGGTCAGCTCAGTAGTCCGCCTACCTCTCTCCCGCCCCCGGGAGCCCCGGGCCGGGCCTGCGCTGGGGTCGCCGATGGACTCCGGGGCGCGCAGCCCCCGCCGGGCCGGGAGGCGGGAGGGGTCGTATCTTTGAGGGGTGGGGCTTCAGGGGGCGCGACGCTGCTCGGGGCCTCTGTGGGCTGCGTACCCGGCCCGGGCGCCCCCACCCTGGTGGAGATCCCCCCTCCGAGGGCGGCTGGACTGGGCGGAGCAGGAGGGGGAGTCGCCCTTCGGGCGCGGCTGCCCCGCGCGGACCACAGCGCGTCCGCCCGGCCGCGGGCCTCGGGGGACCCCGGCGCCCTGCTCGCGGGGGAGAGAATCTTGGAACTGGTTTGGCACTTCAGGGCGCCCGGGCAGCTCCCCCGATCCTCCCCTCCCTCCACGTCGCGTTTCGGGGAGGACTTTCGAGCGGTTTTGTTTTCCTTGCTCCCGTCTATTTTTATTTTCCAGGGGTCTGACTCATCCCGTGCTTTGGGCGTGGAGATAAGGTGGAGGGACCAGATCCCTGCGCGCCTGTGCGTGCGGGGGGTGTGTGTGCGCGCGCGCGTGTGTGCGTGTCACGGAGACGGCGCGAGAGCGCGCGGTTACCCAACCGTGGCGGGGGTTTCGGGAGCGGGGCTGGCTCAGCGTGACGTGTTCGCGGCCCCCAGGCCCCCTCCCGCTCTCCCCCTCCCCACCCGGGGTGACGCGCAGCCGGAGTGGAAGCGAAGTTTTGGCGGGCGGGCGCTTTACAGGAAACTGACTCATCGCGACTCCCTGCCCCTGTCCCCGGCCCGGCCCGCGCGCCTCCGCCCTGCGCGCGATTTCCTGGAGACCGGCGCCCCCTGGCGGCCGGCGCGAGCGCCCACACGCCGTCCCGCGCCCCGCCGAGAGGACCCCACTGGCTCCACGGTGTCCGCCGAGGGCTCGCTGCTTCCTTCGGGGT